TATTATGAATTATTATGAATTATTATTAATAATAATTATGAATTATTATTAATGTCGTAATTAATTCATGAAAATAATGTGTAAATATATATATATGTGTGTGTGTGTTTTGTTTTATTACCATTTATCATACATAATATACGAATATTGATTTCATACAACAAAATGAAAAAATAAACTTTTTTTTTAAAATTCTTGCATTGTCGGTAAAACATGTAAATAATAAGAATGTTCATTATTTAAAAGCATATGTTCATAAATACAATATTTTTAAAAACAGGTATTGGATTATTGGCATCCTTTGGAGAAAGCTCGATATCCTGAATACTTTGCCCGTAGAGAACAGAGAAAATTAGAATATATCGAGCGATGGGAGAAAAAATATGGAAAACCTAAAGAAACTGAACATTAGGTAATTAGTTGTAGCTTTAATTGTAAAATGGGTATGTCTTACTTTAAAACTCAGTCTTAGAAAGGTATTTTATGGCAAAAATGCAGACAGAAAAAACTAATGCTTGTTTAAAGATTTTTTTGTTTTTTTTTTTGTTATATGGTTAGCACCTCAGATGGTGGCAAATTTTTATTTCTGATATATGCACGTTGCTTTTATAGTAAATAATCAAAGCTAAAAATTTACTAATGTAAAATTGTTTCAATTGTCTGCATATTTTCTATCTAAACATTTATTAATTCTTCCCCCGCCTCACACATGCACAGATATTTCTGCTTACTACCTTTAAAGATAAAAAGTAAGGTTTGAAATGCTTCTTGTAGAGTAAAAATTTACCTTTTTGATGCTTTAAGTATAACTGCAACATACTTTAATAAGTTTTTGTATAAGAAGTATTTCCCCCAAGCACAGAAATTGATGCTATTTAACGAGATTGTGTTTACTAATATACTCGCACTCCTTAACTACCAGTGATTTACAAACACAAAAAATATTTGTAAATTTGTCAGGTAAATGATTTTATAAATTACAAAAGCACACCAAGTAAGTAGGCTAGGTTGTGATGTGAAATATAACAGTCACTCTAAAATGTTTGAGAAAAAACTAAATGGTGGATCAAATCCAAGAATTGTTCAAAGTAGTCCCCTCCAACATCAGTACACTTTTATATGCAAATTTTGCCAAGATTAAATCCTTCAAGCCATCCATTTCTTGGAATCGAAGGGAAGTATGTTCTTTGGAGTAAAAATGATGGCCACAAAATTTTTTTTTAATTAAAATATATCTAAAAAAAAAAAAAAAAAAAAAAAGGGATGTCCTATCACTTTTATGTATTTTTGTTAAAAAAAAAAAAAGTAAATTGTCAAGCTTATGGAATATTGATCCATTATCACTGTGAAGCACGAGTCCCCAAATATTCATGTCCTGAAGTCTTCTAGAAGAAGACTTTTAATGCCATTTAAGTCAGTTGTAACTATTATTCTTTTGAAATTATGGTGTATACAGAATGATTTGCTTAAGTGTTACTTAAGTAGAAACTTAGGTTACTTAAAGACAATTCAAAATAGCATAGCAATGAGGGATTGGAAACGCAATTATCATATGCTACCAAGTAGAGAGGAAAATACAAGAAATAAAAGAGTGATGTGAATATTACTATTTTAATGAGCAAATTAATAACAATTAGTTTGAGCTGCCAACTACGATACAAGCGTAACATTGGCACAGCATTAAAATCATAAACCTTTTGGAATATACTGGGAGTCTCATGGATGAACATGCTAGCTATGCTAATGCAGGTGACAAGATCCAAGAGAAAGAAGTGAAGCAGACCAGGAATAGGATTACAGGTGTGTCACAGCTGCTGGATGGTTTGCTCATCTAACAATCCAAACAAAACTTCTTTCAAGAAAATCTTATAAAAACCATCTGTCTAGATGAACAGGTGCAAGATATGGGCCTATCGGATGGTCACCAACAGAGCCCAAAACACTGAACTTGGAGTTGTCCACTGTCCATATATGTGTATATGCACATTGAATCAGCTTTCTTTGCTAAAGTATGCCTTATCAGTGAACAAAATAGTAGCCGAGAAATGAGATTCCATTCCATGCTTCTGCTCATGCCATTCAGCAAGCATAATTAGCAGGAAGCAGTTATGAAAGCACTGCTCATAGTATGGATACAAGTGATAATTCTCCAGACAATAATTTGGGAAACACTAAGGTTTGTTGCTATTGCTATTGTTCATTCCTTTCTGCTTTGAAGCACCATCTCTTTTATTTCAAGCACCCATGTCATTCATTCTGGATTCCTTTGACTTGCCCCAAAAGATCTGGCATTGCACTATTTTTGGTGCAAGCATGAAACATCTGGTGATTCAGAATCTGTGTGGTTGGGTATTGCTCACTGTACAGGCACACAGCGACTCACCTGTTGCAATCAATTTGGAATCGCTGAAAACTTCCAATCTGCTGTGGTTGATTGTCAAATACATAATTTTATGCACAGTGGTTTTATTTGTTCCACAATGCCCTATAGCAAACTATGAAGTCATTTCCACTCCAAAATTGCTATGTATATCTGAATCACCCTATGAGTAGCTAACTCCCTTACTTTTTACATACTTAAGCAAATTACCTTGTATAGTATTTAGTATTATCTGCAGTTTCACGTAAGTGTGATAGGTGTTGGTTGTTACAGAGGCATCATTTACAGTCATTTTTAATAAATAATTTTGGTCTAATCTATTATATGTTTCAAAGCTGCCTACAAGCAAAAAAAGTGATCAGAAAATTGTGAAATTTTTGTGGCGGACTTAATGTAGGGATGAGAATGTCTTTCAGCGAAAAAAATTAATTACAAATAGACAGAGGACATTTACTTTGAAATCCTGTAGCAAAAATGTAAATCTTTGTTCACATCATGCAGCAGCTGTTACAAAAATCTAGAAACATTTGCTTTGTTCAGTGTGCTTGTTGCTCACAATGATGATAAGTTTATGAGATCGCATTTTGTTAGTACATTTATTTTAGATAAACAGCAGGCACTTTCATAATGTGTGGCCTCCCTGATCCCCAATCCATGCAATTTTTGGGTTTGGGAACATTTGAGCATGCCATCTTGTGATTTCAAATGGTAGCTGAAAATGATGGCCATCACGTGGAACAAAATTTTTTGTATCAAAATTTGTAAAACTACTGTGAAGGTGTGGTTAAATGTATAATTTATTAATATAATGCCCTCTGGTGATTCTTTTTTGTAACTAATTTTTCTTTCTCTCAAAGGCATTCTTATCCCTTCATTAAGTCCACAACAAAATTTCACAATTTTTTATCACTGGTTTTGCTTGTAGGCAGTTTCGAAATAGGGTTCTTTAATTATACATCCTGTACATCTAATCTAGACACAAACTTCAGTCAGTTCTGTAACTCATTACATATCTCAAAGCAGATTCCCTGTACTTTTATGCATGCAAATGTTAAATGGCTATAATTTTAAGAATGCAGTAGTAATTTTACTGCTAGTAACCGCAGTAATCTCCCAAACTTCATAAATTTGCAGTTACTTAAGTACTTAATACTGTAACATTTAAACTGAAACCAATTAGAAATAAGAACTGCATGAATTTCTCTTTTCCATAATCTGTACTTCTTACATTCAAATAAGATTCATGCAGTTTAGTCAGTTTGCACCGTTAGTGTTGCTTATTTACTTTTAAATTGGATTTAAATGCAAAACCAAATGCACTGGTAGAAGAAAATTTAAAAATAATTTGTATATATGAAAAAGAGAAAATTATATCAGTAATAACTCAAAATATAAATAAAACTAGTGCACAATGAAAGATATAGTTTGCATTGTTGGGAGTATGAAAGGTGCAAGATTGAAGTTTACAAACATTAACAACAGGAGGCTTGGATTGATTTGATACAGAAGTGGCTATTGTTAAGTTTTTTGATATATTTTTCCTCATTTTGTAGTTTATATTGCTGCATGATGTTTCATTTAAAATAGAAAGTAAGCAAATAATACTCATAAATGTGTTATAATTATTAGTTTTTATGAGGTTAAACAATTTACAAATTTGAATTAGTAAAATTCGTTATACACAGATTTACAAAATGCACTTTTTCTGTAACTTAGAGGATTACTATATTCAGTTATTTCTTAGTTTAGAGAAAAAGTTAATATCTATAATATCATAAAAAGATAAACGACCATGTATATTTAAAGAGCTACAGTTTAATATTTTTCCAAGTATTATGCACCAATCAATTTTTGTAAATGAGCCAAAACCTGAAATTATTGGAGCCTCCACAAATTCAGTCATTCATAGTTAGCAACATTGCAAAACCACATAACTTCTATATTCATAAATACATGGTATAACTAATGGCCTCATTAACTTTTAACTGAAATAAATTGTTGTAATGATGAATTTTCTGAATTTGGGGTCCATTAAAGACTGAATTGCTTTTTTCATCTGAAAGAAATTATGACAATGGATTGGATGATAAATTTGAATAAACTAAAAATTTACTTTCAAATGGCTGATAATAATTTAGAGGATACCAAGAAGATATGAAGAGAAAATTTTTTAAAACAAAGCTAAATTACAACTGTGCAATATGAGGCTGGTAACATCCTTAAACTAAAACAATCTTTAGATGTGAAAAAACATGTCTGAAAAATGTAAAAAATTGCTTTGATATATACTTTCTTTAATATTTTAGTTTGCTTTTTTTAGGCTGAATCTTATTTTTCTTTTATGATCTGATATCTGAAAAGCCTCTGGTTTCAATCTGTGTGGAGTTTTTGTTTTCTATTCCTTTTGAATCCTATAAAATATAATAGTGGGATACAAAATCTGAAATTTCTCAAATGAAAATATCTAATGAATGAGTTATTTGAAAAATAATTAACTTTTCTTTTATACTCAAATATTTAGGCTTTATATGTATTTTTTATACCATAATAACATACTTTTATTTATTTTTAGCCTGGCTACATGGAATGAAGATACGAAAAAATAAAGTATTAAGCATGATTCAATGTGTCCAATTTTAAAGTTTATTTCTGTAGCATTCTAATAGTAAAGGAGAACAAAAAACTGATATATTAATTTGGATAAGAGTACATTAAATAACTATATAGAAAGTTTTTAGTATGTTGTTATATACAAACCAGTTTTGAGGTACTTGATATATTGCACATTTATACATATTTCTTTTATACATAAATCTGCAATGAAATATAAAATCATAATGTAGCCAGTATTCTTGTATATGACATTACAACGACTAAAAATGTTTGTCCTGCACCCCAAACAGCAGCATAATCTGGCATCATTTGGAATCTTGAAGCGCTATACACTCCAGCTATGGCAGCACCTAAAAGAGAAATTATAAATTATGTAAACATACTAAGCTTGTACATTTTGATTCAAATTCAGTATATTATACAGTAATTAAATACTGTTTATAGTTTAGTGAATTTACAATAGACTTTAAAGTAGTTTTAATGTTTGCAGTATCAAATTAACCTTACTCTGTAGATTGGCACTTCCAAACTTTAGAAATTTATTATCCATTATAAATATGTACAAAAATACCAAAACAATAAAATTTAAGTTAATTTATTTCATTCTATAATTTAAAAACTCAATTAGATTTTTGTAAAAATCCATATGAATAATAAAATGATCTATTCTTGTCTTTTACTCATAAATTTTTATTGATTAGTAAATGTAGTAATTGTTTATATTTAACTATTCATAGTTAAAAGAATAAAAGTGCCCCAAGAAACTATCACAGATGTGCCTATGCAGAATACATAATTGTAACATATGTATGTTACTAACTAGTGGATATCTGTGCAAGTTTCTAGAGCAAAGCCTAGTTCAAACAACTGAAATGCTAATTTTGTTTACATTTCAGATTCCTTTTTTTTTTTCTGAAAAAAATCAGTGGTTTTTATTTTTGAGATTCTGGGTGTTTGGTGTGTACATGACTATTAAGTTTATTTGGTTTGAGTGACTCATTTGACAACACAGTTCAGTAGTTCTTAATTCATCGTCTTTAGTACACACGAAAGCATTTTTTTTCTCAAGCTAACGAATTTGTTTGCTTTTACTTCTTTGCCTTGATTCTGTAGAGGCAGAAGCCTCATTGTGTCAGAAGTTAAAGCAGCTGAAATCACAAGTGCTCTTCTTGTCATTTTTTCCTTCATTGACTGTTTTTTCAATCATCCTCTGAAATCTCCATCACTATTGTTGTAATACATACGGGATGTTCACTGAAATTTAAGTTTTAATTTCTCTGACTATCTCAGATCAAATTGAACCATTTTTTTCAAACAAAACATAATGAACTAGGTTTCAAATTAGACATAATTATGTATCGTTAATTAGTATTTAATAAATGATTATGCAATATTGTTCATCAAATACTCACAAGAATTGATATACTACGATTAATACTTTTGCTTATCACATATATTTTTACTTAAGTGATGTACTTACTAGTTATGACGCCTCCAGTTATTGGTGCAATGATCCCAAAAAGTAAAATTGCAACAGCTGTAAAACGACCAAGTTTGTGCTTCCAAAGTGTTCCAAATGCTATTGCTGCATTAATTAAATGGACAAATAATGATGAAAAGAGAGCCCATGTGAATATTTTATACCACATCTCTGAAACAAATATAATTTCATTAAATATGCATAAATACATATAAAAAATTACAAAATAAAAAAAAAATATGACTTAAAGCATATATTTAGATATTAAGATTCATTACAAAGCTAGAAAATACACTTGCAAAAGTAAAATAATATTAGAAATCTTTGACAAAAACATTGTATGAAAAAACAAAATTTAAGATTGTGTACATTAACTCTCATACTAAACTTATGGCTTTCCTTGCAGCTGCAAGCAGAATTATAATTTTATCATGATATATATATATATATTTCCACATTTTCTCCAACTTTGGAAATTTCACGAATAATAAATAAATCCATTGCTTTCAGAAGTATTCATGATGATCGAGTTTCTAAGATTAGACTATTTTTTATATTTTTAGGTAAAAAATATACTGTAAAATTCCAAAATCTAAACCAGAACATTAACCGCTTGCCTGATTATCCCAAGTTATCTCGGGTTTATATATATTGCAGTTAATTATTATCCCGAGAAAACTCGGGCAAAGCAGAATTTGTTAGTACGATTTCTTTTATCACGGTTTTATTTGATCTGGAGGAAATGAAAGAAAATATTCAACTTTGATTGGCAATTTGCCAAATTTTGTTGGTTGCGCAATTCTTTTGGATTGATTGGTCACGTGTTTCCCTATTATATAGTATACGTTGGCTTGTGGATTAGTAATGTATTAGTAATGTAGTAAAGAAGGATGCGTGCGTTGAAAAAAAATAAAATAATGGCGATGATGCAAGATAGCGAAAGCGATGATTTTTCAGATAGTGATTTTGAAGAGGTGGGAAAAAAAAAAAAAAAAAAAAAAAAAAAAAAATCAAATCCAATGAAACAGTGTACTCTGTGCTCTGGTGAAAGAGATTCCAGCGGTAAGCCAGTAAGAAAAAGAGACCAGATACCAGTGTAGAATGTCAGGTATCACTCTGTGTTGTCCCTTGTTTCAAAAACTATCATACAAAGATTAATATTTCACTTTTTTCTCTTTGCCCGAGATAACGCAGGATAGTAAACTAATATTGAAAATAAATGCTTTTACACCTTCTAAAAATTAAAAATTCAACTTAAAAACCTTCATATTTTTATTTGTTTCATTTTGTTGTTTATTAATAATAATATGTGATGATTTTTTGCAATTTTTTTCAAAAAAATTTGTAAAGGAAGCGGTTAAACCTTGAATCGATATTTCTTGTCAGAAAATAACTATTTCTATTGAAGCACACAATGTTATTTAAATCTTTTACTTTGTTTCTTTAAATACCACATAGCTTGTTCCTTGCCAAAATATGTGTACTTGATTAGGGTGTGCAGTATCATAAAAGAAGAGCCAATTTATGTGAAATTTGCAGAACAGATACAGCATGAAAATAATTAGCAAAGTACACATGCAAATAATGGGCACTTGTAATATCATTTAGAAATAATAAGAGATGAACAGAGGATGGATTTTTCACATACAAATCATGTTTTGTTATTTGACTAGAAGTGGAGAGTATGCCTTGAGTAAGAAGATGGAATATACAACAGCATTTGCTGTATTTGACTGCAAAAGAATAATGACATTCTGTGACTGTGGATCATCATATTATCAAACTGCTGGTCGTGTTGGTCGAAATTCGACCATTGTCATCCAAATATGGAACTGACGTGTAGAAAGGATGAATGAAGCAAGCCTCACAACTTCAGTGTACTAGTATTTAAGAGGAGAGACATGGCTTGCAACCTGTAAAGATCATATAGCCACACAGTATGATGTGAGTCTGGCAAGAACCATCAGCAAGTATAGTGACACATTGTTTTGAAGATGATGAGATAGATTATAGAGCAGTCACTACTTTGTCTATTTCTAATAGTATAGCATATACAGTCAAAAGTCGTTAATCCGGACCCGTCGGGACTTCGGCGATTCCGGATTATCGATTTTTCCGGATTATAGATCATCAGTTTAAATCTGGTAAGATGGCATGCAGAAAATATAAAATTAAAAATATGAAATCGTAATTTATGAAATAAAGAACAATTATGATCTAAAAGGTATCAAAATTTACAAAAAAAAAAAAAAAAAAAAAAAACTTAATATTTATTTGTTTACTTTATTAAGCATTTCTTTCAATGTAAGTTGTTTAAGTTGCTTCGTTTTTTATGTGATAATACTTTCTCTTTAATTCTATAAACAGACATAATTTCTTGTTCAGTTACAAAGTTATCATTCCGGATTATAGGTGTCCGAATTAATGACTTTTGACGATACATCTGCAGCTATAATGGTATATTATATATTATAACATACATGGACATAATAAATGTAATGATTTTGCCTTCTCAAAAGAATTCCACTTCAGCATGCAACATCATAATGCATATGTATGCATATGGTGCCATTATGTGAAATATGCTCATTGGTATCTTGTCTTACGAGCCATCAAATAAGTCCATTAGTTAAGTCATATTTAGTATATTTGGTGCACTTCTAAAAAACCAAAACATGGCAAACCATGTAGACCTTTGCATAGGAGATATGTTCAATATAACTTACAATTAAATTATAGTCTATACTTATCATTTGAACTTAGCTTACAATTATGCATTTATTTAATAAATAAACATGCCTTTAATTTAAAAAAATATGCAACTAATAAAACAGTTCTAAAAACAAATAAAACATTCATGTTAAGTTCTAAATACAAATAAAACAAATTAAATTAATCATAATATTTAATTATAAGTTAATATTGCAGGTCTTATCTGCACAAAATGTCTTTTTATACAAGAGAAATTTTACAAACTCAGAAGTTCATCTCACAATAAATTTCCATCAGAATTTGATTTGGAATCAACTATTAATTTTAGCTGTAAATCAATACAATGTTTAAGAGATTTCTTTTCTTCTGGACAAATTTTAAAGAAATTCTATAAAAACAAATTCCACATGGCAATAAAATCATTTAACTGTTGATACCTTTATCTAAAGATATCAGTGCGGTGTTCAATACGATATTAAAAAAACTTAATTTATTTTCCTATAGACTCATCAGCAGGTTCTTTATCACACTGCATTCTGCATATATTATTGCAATTTATAATTTGCATTGCTCTGTGATGACTTCAATATTAGCTGTATGTTGAAGTTCTCACTATCTCTATTTCTGCTATATAACAGACAGTTTTTTGAGTAATTTTTCAAATAACAATAACACATTTTTAGCATCTGGGTCCATTTAAGTCAATATTTACTATTTGATTAATTTTATTTATAATATTCATCCGGAAGAGAATATAATACCAAATTATTCATAATACTATAAAACTGAAACCATTGAACCATCTTTCAAGTATTACTGCCTTGTGGGAGGTTATTAGGTCATTCTTTTCAATTTCATTAGACATAGTACCATATTTGACGGCATATAAGACGCACTTTTTTTCCTAAATTTGGTCTCAAAAAATTACCTGGGTCTTATACGTGAAGGACACAGGTTAACTTTCAATACTGAATGCTATTTTTAGCCCAGATAAAGGTCTGGACACGCATAACTTTTTCTACATCTGCCATAATTATTTTGCGCATGCGTGAAATATCTGTCGCCAAAAAGCGTCAAAGCGCGAAGCTGATGTCGAAGTTCAAACAGGTTCAACGGTCACATTACGTGTATGGAGGAGCCTTTCCTTCTTTACATAGACTTTGATTCAGCTGACACACGTGTCGGTATTGGTGCTACTCTGTATAAAAGAGTCGGTATTGATGTTTTAAAACTATTTGTTTTAAAAAAATACCCTGGAAAATATGACTACAGGAAACAAGAGATTAAGCTATACAATTCAGTATAAACTAGGAGTGTTAAACTACGCCAAAGTGCATGGAAACAGAGCAGCAGCACAAGGCATTTTGGTCCACCACTTACCGAAAAAAATGATACGTACTTGGCGACTGCAGGAAGATCAACTGAAGACTGCTAAAGAACAAAAATATAACGTTCGATGTCCAGCTCCATCTTGGCCTGAACTTGAAAATAACATTTTAAGTTATTGTGGTACCGTGCTATCACGCGGACTATTGAAACTTTTTTTCCCTTGTGTGTGGTCTTCTAAATAAGGGTGTGTCTTATATGCTGTCAAATACGGTAATTAATGTCCAAATATACTATTTTAGTGTTGTAATTCTATCAATTCTGGCTTCCCAACAAGTGTTACTCTATTTTTTAAGCTATAAATTTTTTAATGATCAGTTAGAAATTCCATCTCTTTATTATGATAATATTGAAAACAATAATTGCAAAACTCGAAACAAAAATTGATTTTACAGATTATTTTTCAGAATTATTACATTAAAACAAAATAAAATATGCTTAAACTATGTCTAAACATTAATAAGTTTTGCTTAATAAAATTTCCCTTCTTACTGTTATTTCTTGCAGGGTTGCTGTATTTTTAGGATTGATGTCGATATATACAGAATGAAAGGTCTCTAGTACAACATGGGCTTGCAATAATTTCTAATACTTCTCAATTTTTGAGGCTGCTTTTGTACTGAAGTTTTGAGGATTTCAAGTTTTGTTCGATCTTAATCTATTCCCTCTTCCCGAGCTTCAAGATTATTTCTAGTGAGCAGCAAATCATAAAAAAGAATTGATTCAGTTCAGAGAGTAAACAGCACTCTTATTATTCCAAAGAAGAGCAGTTTTGCCTACCTCTCCCTGCTGAATGCATGTTAAGTATCAAACACACACAAACTTTTTTTTTTTTTATGATAACACAAGATGCTAAAATGACATGTGACTTTCCATGATATAAAGTATAATATAAATTTTTAACTGAGATTTTAAAAAGTATATTCACTAATCTATTGTATATTTTAATCAGTTTCTACATTTTAAATAATATTAACAGATCTGCATATAAAAGACTATAAGCAAATAAAATAAAACTAAAATAATGAAGTTTTGTAAATATGGGTGTTCCTATTAATGAGCATCACTAAGTC